GGGGGCTGCAGGGGTTGCTGACATCCCCTCCTGCGCTGGTTTGCCCTCCGCAGGTAAAGGAGCCATCCCACATCCTCCCATCCCCAAAAACTCACTGCGAGTGTTCCTCGGGTGCTTCACCCCCATCCCCGGCCGTGCCCGGCTCCCCCTGGGGGTACTGGCAAAGCAGCTCCTGCCCTGGCATTTTGGGGTGATTGAGGCTCCCCAGCTCTCCAGTGAGGGCTGGACTGGGCATAACCACTCTGTCCTCAGGGTCTGGGCCAGTCCAGCCCCTTACTGGGACCATGGGGGATAAATCTGAGCCAGACCAGGTCCTCCCCAGCCACACCACTCTTCCCAATGGGAGGTATTTGCAGCTCACCCCAAAAAGGAGAACCCCCAATCCCACTGCAGACCCCCACAGCAGACCCCACCCGCTCAGCTCCCCAGTGTTCCCCATGTGTGTGACAAAGCCCTGGGTGCTCACAGATCCTCTGGGGGGTTTTGGCTCAGATCCATAGGGAAGGCAGGCTCATTCCCAATCCATGGTAATATTTCCCTGCAGCAATCATGCAGAGACACAAAAGACTTGGGACCATCAGCAGGAGACAGGCAGCCAAACGCCAGCTGGACATCCCTGACAGAGAGCAGGAGATGCTCAGGAGTGACACCCAGTGTCATTCTGCTGATGAGTGCCACACTGTGGCACTGGGAAAGAGATTCTGGAATCCCCACCTGAAATCCTGATTGCTGCCTGAGACATGAGCCAAGCTCAGTGCCAAACGTGCTGTGCCACCTTTCTCTGCCCCTTCCAGGTGCTTCTCCTGCCACACTGGCTCGGCTTGCTGAGGAAATGAAGGTCAGAGACACTCCAGGAGCCTTTGCTTTGCCATGGAGAGGATTTTATTTGTCAAGAACACGTGACATGGGTTTGCCTTTCCTTCCCGAATCTCACTGATTGATTCCCTTGGCTGTGACCATCTGTCCCAGCAGCACATGTCCCATCCCCTGGCACCCCACCCCTGGGGGACCTGTGGGACTCTGCCCTCTGCTGCTTGCACATCCCACCAGATCTGTTTTAGGTGGATCACCTGCAGAACTAGGTCTGGTTTAGGTGGATCACCTGCAGAACCAGGTCTTTCCAACACTCTCCAACCCAGGAGGAGGAAAATCCCCTTGTCAAATTCCCAGGATTCCTGTGTCACAGCCCTGTCCCTCAGCTCAGCATCCTCCTTTTAACCACCCTCTCACCTGCTGTATCCAGTGACACAACCACATCCACGCCCTCCTCAGCCCTCGGAGAGAAAATTCAGGTTTCCACCCCTGTGGGTGTGCCAGCCTTTCGTGCAAGAGTAGCTGGACAAGGAGCACATCTCCTCCTCCTCCTCCTCCTCCTCTGTGTGTGCTGGGCAGAAAAAAATGCTGCCAGAACCCGAGAAATAATAAAAACGGACACAGACAAAGCCAGGGCTGGGATATTCTGTTTCAGAGCAACGACAGAAAGTGGAGGTGAGGCTAAAATGAATAAACTCCAGTTATTGATACTGTTTGCTTTGAATAAACAGCTCTGCTCCACCAGCTTGTTCCTGCCTCCCTCCTTGGGTGGAGGGGCTCCATTTTGGATTTCCATCCCTTCTCTCAGGGTTGGTTTGCTCAGATTTCTGTTCTCCTGCTGACTCAGCCACCCCAAACTTCACTCCCAAATATCTGCACACCCTTCTCAGAGCCCCAGGGCATCAGTTGCTGCCATCCCTCAGTCCCCAAACCTTCCAGCATTTCTCTTACTGCTCTGCCCTTTAAATTCTCCCCAAGTGAATTCCTTGCTAGGGAGATGCCAAATTCCCAGTGACCCCTCCTCACTGGGATCCTACTAAAAACCTTTGGATTTAAAATAATCCTGCACACCCCAGTGACTTCAAACATAAAAGAAGACACAGAACAACCTTAACCTTGTCTTCACTTGACCCTGGGCAATTTAGTCCTTTTCAAGGGTCTCAAATGACTTTTTTTTTTACTCAATAAAAATGCAAAATTTGCCTCTCCTGCAAAATATTTTGGAGTGTGCTGAGTGACAGCATTGGGTGGAGGTTTGTTATCACGATCAGGCACTTTGTGAAAACGGTGCTTTCACAGCCTGGAAAATATCAGGAGATGTGCTTAGGCTTGATAAAGAGGGATGAATACACTGGGATGAGTAATCTGTCACCTTGGAGGGGATGTAGGAGTCTGTGGGTGCTGTCTGAAATGTGGCTGGAATGAGGAATCAGCAGATGATCCCAGCTTTTCATGCTGCAGGGAATAAAAAAAGCCAGATTCCCTGAGCATCTTGAACTCAGGTGTGCCTGAATTTTCTGCATCCCAAGACAAATATTCCAGGGAATGACTCTCAAGCCTTTTGAATCAGTGTTTTTTCTATTTTTTTCTGTTTCCCTAGAAAGCAGAAAAAGTCTGAAAATGCTACCCCCTAATGGCACAACTGGGTGTGGGGTGCTGGCCTGGGAAAAGCTGATCCAGGTTTTATCCACAGGGAATGAAGGGAATGGAAATTGTGTGGTCTCTGCTAGAAAGATGTGCCCCGGGGGGGGCAAACACCCTGACAGCAAAATGTTCCATCACGAATGGGATGAGAAACAAAAACAAAGCCATTTTTGGGATTCAGCTGAACTCAAACCCAGAGGTTCCAGCTGCAGCATCTCGGGTGTGGGATCAGGGACCCTGCCTGTCCCAGCTCCCTCAACCCAGGGCTCAGGCAGGCCATGGAGAAGCTGATGGGTTCATTGCCTCCTTGGACTCAAAGAGCACAAGTGGAATAAGGAGAAAGAAAGGAAAAAATACTACTTTAAAAGGGCAGAGAGTCATCAAAGGGATTTTAGGATTTAAAAACTCACATGGGGCTGTAAAGTGGGTTTGGAGGTCTCTGTGATCCAGGTGTGAAGGGGAGAGGTGCTCCCCAAGCAGATTCCAGCTTCCCAGGTGGTTGTGGTGAAGCAAATCCTACAGGGTATCCTCAGTGGTTGGGGTGGACACTGATTCCCAAATCCTCCACTTCAAACCTTCCCTTGGACCCTGCTCAGAAATCTCCATTTCATGTTTATTTGGGACATTTCACAAAATCCTACCCTTCAGTGTCATCCAGCCAAGAACCCCAAACCGTGCACAGACCAGGCTGCAAGCCAAGGAAAGTTCTCCTGCCCCAAACCTTGCTAACCATGAACTGTGTGACCTCAACATCTAAATATCTCCTTCCCAAGCTCCAGCCTGACCTGGAGATCTGGGGCTTGAGGATGTTTTCCTTTCATTCCACACCAAATCTCAGGTGGGACCTTGGGTGGTCTCATCACAGAAGAGACAACAAAAGAGAGAAGAGTCAAGACCTTGTGCTCCAAAAAGTGTTCTACAGCATCCAAGAATTTCTGGAGTCCTTGGTGTTGTGTGACACCACAAGACCCCAAGAAGGAGGAACACAGTGGATTTCTGTCCCTGGAAAGGCATGAGGGGGGTTCTCCTGTTATCCAGAGAGATGAGAAGTTCTTTCCTTCTATCCTGACAGCCCCTGGGTTTTTCTGCTCAGCGCAAGCCTTGGAAGTACAAACTTCCAATTAATTCCATGAGTAAGAGTATGATTAACTCTGTTTTCTCCAGGTGCTACAGCAGGGCCTGTAACAGACTCTGACACCAATCCAGCCCCTCAGGTTGCTGATTTCTGAGGGAGCCCCAGGAACTCCTGCAGGGAGTGGGGCCAGGGTTCTGTCAGGGTTAGAGCCAAAGGAAGCCACATGTGAAATAGTCTGGGTTGGGTTTAGGGTTAGGCCCTTGAAAGGTCCTTGAGTCCAACCCTTCTGGGACGAGCAGGGGCACCTTCAGCTTGTCCAGAAACACTTCCAACCTGACCTGGAATGCTTCCAGGGATGGGGCATCCACAGCTCCTCTGGGAAACCTGTGCCAGCATTTTACAGGAGAAACTTCCCTCTGTTAAAAACCTGGCAGGAATCAATCCCTGCTGGGGGATTTTAACCCTCACCTTTACAGCTGGGGATTTTAACCCCCAACTTTACAGTTCTGCTGCCTGTTGGACTCCAAGAACTGCGATCTCCATGCTGGATCCACACCACAAATTTCCAAACGGCTCCCTACTCAAACCAAGCATCTGTGAAGCCTCTATGGACAAAAAAACCCCACAGATGTGGCCAGTTCCTTGCAAAATGCCAGTGTGGGATGCAGTTTCTCCCGGGCTGTCACTCCTGGAGGTGGGCAGGCCCTCGGGGCCGGCCCTCGGCGCCTCCCGCTCAGCAGGCACACCGCACACACCGTCTGGGAATTGCTCAGGTTGGTTTTTTTTTTGCTAAGTTTTTATTTTAATTCAAGGACTTTGCTTCATACAAAATGGAATTGTAGAAACAACTGCAGAATTCAAAGTTTGGCTGATAAATATTACTCAGGCAGCAAACTAGGCAATCACAGAACCTTTTTTTTTTTCTCAATTTTTTTCTCCCTTATTTTTTTTTGGGTAAAGTTCCACTTGTGTTGCATGGTTGGAACTTTGATCGTTTTTCACACTGTTTTTTAAATATAAAGTTTTGCAACAAACCCCCAAATTTATATCAAATATAATTAAAAATTAACAACTGATGAATACATTGTATCAAAAAAGTACGAAGATAAACATTTTCCATGCACATACTTTTTATAGATATGTATATATGTATATATATTACATGCAAACATTACTTATTCAAAGTACAGCCACTACGAGACTGGTTCTGGATGCAGAAAACTGATCGGTGCAATTCAAGTTTGGCAACTCACTATGAGGATTCTTGGAAAGATGGAGAGACAGCAGAGAGGCTGTAAAAAAATGTCAGGAAAGGGTTATGGATAATTGTGGTCAGGCTTGTCTGTCACTGTCATCGACCCCTACGAGGCGGGTGGAGGATTTGGACAACTTGAGATTCTTCTTCGTGTTCTGCCTATGAATTGGGGTGACCCAAAGCTGTGTTAGTGCAGGGCTGGGGGGTTGGGGATGGAAAATGGGAGAGGAAAAGGGGGAAAAGACAGAATTATTCCGTACAGAAAGACATCTCTGTTGCTTTCCAGTGTGGGTACAGTGTTTGCATGCACGGGCAGAGATGGTGTTGTCCCTTCCCCTCGACTTCCTGGAGTAAAATAGGAACGTTCCCTTGGAAAATTTCAAATAAGGTGTTTGTGCCTTCATTTCAGGAAAATGTATAAAACATTTGGTCACAATCGTGCTGAAGCCTGAAACAGGAAAATCCAGCAGCTAAAGCTACAGATGGATGAAGGTCTTGGAGTGGTGGTGGGGTGGGTGTGTGTCCGGACGTGTCATCTGGTTGCATAGCCCTCCGTTTGGGAATGCCAGGAATGCCAGCCGTGACCTCTGGCTACCACACTGCCTTTATTCCGAGTGCACACGAGTACAGAGACAGAGATACAGACAGGAGTTATCCTTTAGCAGAATCCAGGGATGAGATCGGCCAGAGATTGCTACTGAACAGAACGAAATTAAAACAAAACACTGGAGGGAACAAAACCGGGTTGAGTTTCCTCAAGAGAAGAGCTACAGGAGATGTGAAGAACCACCCTAGAGCAGACTGCTCCTGCCTGAGGCTGACAGACTTTGCTGAGAGCATGAGAGACCTCCTGAGCGTTTTGGTGGCATCTGATCCCCTCCAAGCAACCCAGGGACAGAACAGATCACCAGGGCCAGCGGGATTTCCACCCACCCCGTGTGACCGCTGCGCCTGGAGAAGTTCCACAGGTCTGGGGCCTGGTAGATCCTCTGAAAAAATTCACCTCTCCAACCCTATCCTCTATCCTAGTGGCGCTTTTAGGGATGTGCTCAGCACCTCCCACCCTTCCTCCTTTCACCTTTTAACCTCTCCACGTCCTCTGGCTGCCCTGTGCCCCAAACCAGCCCTACAAGGGCTCAGCAGAGCCCTGGGCAGGAGGTCCTGGCTGGGCTTTGCCCCAGCCTCCCTCCCCGCCAGCACAGCGTGTTTGCCCTTTTCCCAGGCTCACAGTGCAGGAATCCACACGGGCACAAAAGAAAGAAACCAGCCAACACAAAAGTCGTTGCAAGAACGCAGAAATCTCATCCCTGAGAATCAGAGTTAGAGGTTTGGATTATTATTATTATTATTATCATCACTTTTTTTTTTAAACCTTCTCCTATCAGGCAATAAAAACAACTCACTCCAACTGCCCTCCACACCAGTGATGCACGGCCAGAGCTCTCTCAGCTGGCCTGTGGGAGATGCTGCTCCTCCTCCAGGAGCACCCCTGCAGATGCTGCCCTTTCCCACCTGCATTTCCTCCACTGGGCAATGAGACAAGGCCGGCTTTGTTTGCTGCAATCACTCCCCTCTCACCCATAAAAGTATATCTATATATATATATTTATATTTCTATATTCTAACCAAAAATAAAATAAAATAAAATAAAAGGCCAACCAAACCCAAACCAAGCCCAAAGCACGTTTGCCTTCCCCACTGGAAGCTCCCAGCCTGGGACACAGTGCCCCCAGGGCCCCTCCAAGCTCCGGCTGCTCGGCCCCACACCCTCTGCCCTCCCCACGCTCGCCCAAGCTCTGATGCCTCGAAGCAAGAGGTTGCATCGTCACTGTGAAAGATTTCAAAGGTTAGGCACTTAGTAGTGAACAACTGGAGCATTCGGTAGAAACGGTGGGACCTGGAATGACAATTGGACTAATTCTCTACAGAAAGAGGAAATTTTTTTCTTTTTTTTTTTTGGTTTTTTTTTTACTGTACAATTTACAAAAATGCACACAATGAAAAGTTAAAGTTCTATCTAATAGCTTGATATAAAACCAATAACATTTCTTCTTCTCAACCCTACGCTTTTTTTTTCCTCTTTTTGTTTGGGTTGTTCTTTTTTTTGTGGACTTTTTTTTTTTAGTTGTTTTTTGCTAAATCAAGCTTATATTGTAAACAAGACAAAACAGTGAGGGTGTGTTGCAGTCAACAGGAGAGAGGGATGGATTGAAAAGTCTCAGCAGCAAGGAAACAGTCCTTACAAAGGAGCTCTCTTGTGGCTTTACCGTGTGTCAGTGTGAAGGACCCAATGTGGTGAGTGACATTAGAGACCCCCAGGTCAGTGGTGTCACAGCAGGGTCAGCTCGGGGGCGGCACCAGCTCTGCCCTAAAGGATTGCAGTGGCTGAACATCAAGTCCCAAAGGACTGTCCTTTGTTCTGGGCTGTGTTTCTCCTCTCCCAGTTTCTTGGGTGCATCTCTTCCTTCTCAGCGCTCAACGAGACAAAACGCGGGGGGCGAGCGTTGTTCGCGCGAGTCCCTTTGCGACCCCCGGCTCCCACCCTGGCGGGGGGGAATTATGATGGTAAATTAATTAAGAAATAGCCCAACAAAACTGCGCCAATCATGAGAAGGACCCACAGTTCTGCTTTTCCACCGTGGAAGGTGAGGATCGCTCTTCTCCCGGCTCCTGGCCTCCGCAGCCGGGTTGGCGCCTGGTGCGTGTCTCGGGACTAGACAAGGCAGTGGGGAGGGGGCAGTGAGGGATGTGCTCCTCCTGCTGCCTTCCCCAGAAGGAGGGAGCCTTCTTCCTCCATCTGTCTAGTGCAAAAAAAAAAAACAGATCAAAAAGGAAAAAACTAAAGAACAACAGAGGAGAGAGAGGCTGCAGGGGCATCTCCGGCCCCGGGCGCTGAGCAGTCCTCAGGGCTGCCCTGCTGGCCGCCTCCGGCCCCGGGCCCCCACGGGAGCTCCCAGCCCTCCAGATGATAAAACTCATCCTTATTAAGCACGCACACCTCGCAGGGTTCCGCCGAGCCGCTAGCACCAGTCATCCTCATCGGCTTCGTGGTAGTAACTGCGTCCTCTGGCGCCGGGGCCCGTGTTGAGCCCCAGCGTGTAGTGGTACCCGTTGGGCACGCGGCGGATTTGGTGCGACTGCGAGGTCAGCGAGGAGACGTAGGAAGTCCTTGAGGAGCGGCCCGAGTTGGTGGCCACGGCCTCCTCGAAGGTGAGCGTGTCCTCGGGCGCGGCGCGCTGCGGGCTGTCGGCGGCGGCATCGTCGCGGTGGCCCAGGTAGGGGTCGGAGCCGATGCGGGCCACGGCGGGCGGGGGCGGCTGCTGCTCCCCCCGCAGCAGCGCGTTGTGCTCGGACAGCCCGCGGCTCAGGCGGCCCGGGGAGAACGTGGGGGTTTGGAAAGTGGTGAAGTGCACGGGCGAGGAGTTAGCGGTCTTGTAAGTGATGCTGGGGCGTGGGGTCAGTGGAGTCTGTGGGAGCTGCCTCCGACCCCGGCAGGGGGTACTAGCACCAGATGTCGACAGCAAGGGGCTCCCATTAACTGAACCACTGCCCTACATCAAAATTGGAACAGAGCAAATCAAAAAATAAAAAAAGGGAAACACCGGACAAACACAAAGGCAGGCAGGTATCAAACAGAAGGAGAAGCAACAGAAGGCGGAGACGAGTCACAAGAGGAAAGAAAAGCAAAAAAAGAGAGAGTTTAGACAAGCACAGTCGGGGCGGGAGGTTCTCGAGAGATAATTCAACACGAGATGTGAAGAGCTGGAGAGTTCAAGTCTGGGAGCAGTAGGAACAGAGAGGGGCAGAGCATCGGTAGGACGCAAACTGGCACACGGCTCCAACAGAGGGGACACTGCCCAGGGGAGGCACCCACAGCATACAGGGCTCAACATGCGCCTTACCTGGCCTGGGAGCAGCTCAGAAACCTGAGTTATTGGGGATTTTTATGAATTACTTTTAATAGGTTTTTGGGTTTTTTTTTAGAATTAATAGTTTTGCTTTGGGGTGGGTTTGTGCACAACTTCACCTTACAATTGTGTGTGCTGGGTTTGTGGGAGATGATCCTGCCCACAGGAGGGGGTTGCAAAGCGATGAGCTTTAAGGTCCCCTCCAAATCAAACCATTTTAGGACTCCATTTCTGTTGCCAAAACTGGATTATGGGTTGTTATTATTATTATTATTATTGTTATTGTTATCGTTATTGTTATTATTATTTTATTCTTATGGATTCTGCATGGAAGGAGGATCTGGGTGACTGTTTTTTGCAGGTTGGGAATAAAATGCCTTTGGATTAAATAGCCAATTTCTGAAAAAATAACAGCCAAAAGCTTTTTGGACAGGCTTTAACAAGTCCCTTTAACAGAAATGCATTCACATTCTTCTCTTTAATATTATACATTTGATTTTGGAGTGGTAGAAGGGTCTGGCAGCTTCCTGGGTTACTAATAATGCCTTGCGAGAGTGAACTAAGCTGCAGTAATTTACACAAATGCCATGAGTGAGAGGAAAGGGCCTGTCTTCCCATTTCTGTTTACATTCTCCCAAGGCAGGACATGAGTGCATTGAACAATCCCCCAGCCTTTCCCAACCTAACATTTTGAGACCAGACCTTTAATTTTCAAAGAGCACTTTTTCCTTCCTATCAACTCATCAGGCTGTCAGTCACTGCTTGTTCTGCCCTGCCTGGCTCGCCCAGTGACCAGGAACATTCCAGCATCATGAGGAAGCTGTCCAGCTTCTCCCAAGGGCCTGAGCACCTCACAGTTACAAAAGAAAGGAGAACTAAATTTTAGCCTGGAGAAGAGGAAGCTCAGGGAGGACCCTTTTGGTTTCTCCAACTTCCTGACAGAAGCATGGAGCCATGTGGGGGTCAGGCTCTGCTCCCATGTAAGAGGAAACAAACAGCCTCAAGTTGTGCCAAGGGAAGTTCAGGTTGGACATCAGCAGGAATTTCTTCCTGGAAAGGGTGGACAGGCATAATAAGGGGCTGCCTAGGGAGGTTTGGAATTCCCATCCCCAGAGATGTCCAAGGAAGGCCTGGATGTGGCACTGTGGGGTGGTGACAAGGTGGGATTGGGCACAGCTTGGACTTTGAGGATTTTTCCAGCCTTGGTGTGAGGCTCCAAGCAGGACCCCAATGGCTTTATCTGCAACTGCCTGACCTTCCTTGCCCTTTCCACCTCCTCTAATTTAAACAAAACATGGCAAAGGTGCACAAACCCCTGGCAGAGCTCAGGGCTGTTTCCCCACGCTGCCTCTCCTCACCTGTCTGTGTGGGCCGTGCTCTGGGCCCCCGTTGGGCGAGGTGGGCCTGCTCTGGTCAGCAGATTTGGGCTGGGCACGGTCCCGGCTGCCGTAGCGGTCACAGGAGTAGAAGCGCTGCTTTTCAGAGGAGGAGGAGGAGTGCTGCTTCCTCTCCTGGGAGCGACCACGCTCCTGCTTCTTGTCCTTGGAAGAAGACTCTCCAGACTGGGCTACTGAAAGGAGAACGTTGGGTAGGGGGTCACCAGTGTGTTGAGACATAAACTTTAAAGAATTTAGAGATTTTAGAGGAGCTAAGATTTTAGTTAGAGATAAGCTTTATTGGAGTTAATTAAAATAAATGGGTAGGTCTTGATGGAGTTAAGAGTTAGTACTTAACTAATAATTGATTGCTTGTGTACACAATGTTTGACTAGCTGGGTTTATAATGAAGAATACAGAAACTGGTAAATAGCGTTTAGGAACATAAGACAATTGTGGCCTTCTCTATTCTGAAACCAATTGAAGATGGGGAGTAGGAGTCTTACCAAGCGTTCATTTGTCATATTTGTATTGAAAAGAGGAACAGCAGCTGCCTCTTCTTCCACTGGATCTTCAGAGGAAGAATACATCCTTCTCTACAGGATCTCTGCTCCAGCAGAACCATCCCTGACACTGCAGGAGGGCTGCAGCCACATTTCCAATGGGACTGGCACCAACACCCTGACCCACAGGGTGTCAGGTTGGGTTCTGACTCTGTCAGTGTTGTTCTGGTGTACTGCATTGTTTATTTTATCCTTTTATTTTTTTCTTCCCTATTAAAGAACTGTTATTTTCTGCTCCCGTATTTTTGCCTGAGAGCCCCTTAATTTAAAATTTATAGCAATTCGGAGGGGTGGGGAGGGATTATAGTTCCCATTTCAGGGGAGGCTCCTGCCTTCCTTAGCAGACACTTGTCTTTCCAAACCAAGAGAGTTTGCTACAAGAATGCAAACATCAGAAGGCTTAGAAAAATCTTTGAAAATCAGGGTGACAGCAAAGCACTCACCAGCTTGTCCATCAGCCATGTGATGGGCGGCCCTATCCAAGGACTTCTGCTTCTTCTCCTTGCGCCGGTGGCAGCGGTGGTGGTGGTGGTGGTGGCCCTGCTCTGGTGGCATGCGCTCCAGGGAGTACTCGTAGAGGTGCATGGCGTGAGGGCGCTGCGGGGCCAGCGTGGAGACCGAGCGCTTCATGGGGCTCGTGTCCGGGATGGGCTGCGGGGAACACGGAGCGACACGGAGCGCGGTGAGGGAAGGAGCCGCGCCCTGCTCGGCTGCCTGCTTCCCAGCATGGAGGGGGTTAAACAGCCAGAGAAAGGGGCAAGGAGGGCAAGGAGAGAAATGGTTAATTGGAGACAACAGGAGTGGGCGGGAGGGTTTGTGGGATGTGGATTGAGTGTGAAATTTGGGGAGGGAATAGGATCTCCGAGTGCCAATCCATGGGGATCACACACAGGCAGCACTGCACAGCACACCCAGCGGGGAGCTCAGCAGGGACACAGGGCAGAGCAGCAGCCAAGCACCTCACAAGGGGAATTTTTCAACACCAGGGGCACCCACAGCTGCTCCAGGGCCTGCATCCCAAAGCAGCTCCAGAGAGGAAAGCAGGTAGCATTGCTGAGCACCACACGGAGGGGGGGAAAAATCAGGAATCAGGGGAGGTACAGGCCAAGCCACTAGGAAATTCCTTCTCTGCAGTGAACACAACTCCCTGCAGTGAACACAATCTCCCTGCAGTGAACACAATCTCCCATCAAACATTTAAACCTCTCTTGTCCCACCATCACTCCCTGAAGCCCTTTGCCTGGAGCAAGGATAGTGCGTGGATCCTGCAATCCCACCAGGACATCTCCAGAAAGGAATACCTGGGTTTGCTATTGCTGTTTTTAAAACATTTGTGTCCAAACATCTGGGCACTGAGAGCTGTAACAGCACTGCTGGACACCCCCTCTGTGCCAGGGGCAGCTCCAGACCCTGCTCCCTTCCCTTTCGGTACACAACCTTACCAAGGTTCTGCAGAGCCCCAGACAAGTGTCAGACAAGCCACAGACTCTTCTCACAGTCTCTGCCCTTCCTCTGCCCAGGGATAAAGGTCAGAAAACAGGGACAATTCCCACATTTCCTTCTCTGCTGGCCTCTGCCTGGCTCTGTGTGGAGACAACAGCTCATCCATCCTCTGGATGCTTCCCTGGATCTGTCACTGCAACCCGGCAGTGTGCCAGAGGAGAGATCTCAGAGCACAGTGTTCCAGCTTGACAGTGAAATTCAGGATGTTCCCCAGTCCCTCAGCCTTACACTTGTTCGAATTCCCAATCCAATAACTCCCTCCAACACCAGCTCTCAGGGAACATTTACTCTGCTCACTGTAACCTTTCCTAAGACCTCTGTATTATTTTTCCTGCCTCCTGTCTTTTGTTTGATTATCCTGAAATCCAGATCTCTGCTTCCCTTGTGATATTTACCCAAGGCAAAGCCAATTGTTTCATAGTTCTGCTCGTTATTTTAAGTGGAAAAACCATTCTCCCTTCCCTTGAGGGCAGATTTTCCTGGGTGTAAAGGCACCACTGGGCAGTCACCCACATTTTGGTGCTTCCCACTTAAGGGCAGTTGGGATCCTGGTGCTGGAAGGTTTATCAGAGGCACAAGGCTGGGATGAGGGAGCCCAGCAGAGCTTTTGGTGTGGCTCTGGAAGCACCAATTCCATCAGCAGGACCATGTTAATGTCACCTCTTGTGGCCCTCATCTGTGTGGACAAGAAATTATACTCAGGAGCTTCCTATCTGTCCTTGTTTAGTGCTGAGCCTGCAGCTGGAGGAAGGAAGGAGGGCTGCAAACTGGACAGTCTGATGAGCAAAAATATGGGAAGTGAAATATTTCCCACTAAAAAACACAGCCAGATTTTCCAAATTCATACAGGGCTGCCAGAAAGAAAGCAACAGAAAAAAACCAACCAACCAAAACAAAACAAAACAAAAAAAAAAAAAACAGAAAAACAAAAACACAAAAAAAAAGAGAAAAAGAAAAAAACCAGACCAAACCAACCCCCCCCCAAAAAAAACCAACCCCCCCCCCCAAAACAAAAACCAACAAAAATCAAAAAAACCCCCACCAACAACAGAAAAACCCTACATGGATTGACAAGAAATGACCATTTCTTTTTGGGCTTCAGTCCTGCATCCACATTTATTCCAGGGACAGAAATCCCACTGACACAAATCAGTGGCAAAGCAATCAATCCTTTTTCCATAAATTCTGGCAAGGCTCTTGTTATGGGAGGCACAGGCTCCCAAAAAGCTTCAGGAGACAGCATGCACCCCTGCAGAGAGCTCCTAATTGTTTCTTCATTACCAATCCGAGTGTTTTCACTGCCTAAATTCCTGAGCAGAGCAACGAGGCATGAAAATAAACAAATCAAAAAACAAAAAAAGCAACCCACCCAGCCAAGCCCTGCTAGCAGAGCAAAGCATGCAACCAGGACAGAGGGAAAAGTGGGAAAAGAAAGAGCGGCTGTGCCGGAGCGACTCCAGATGAAAGGGGAGAAAAGTCAAGGGTTAAAGGAAGGTTAATTAACTCTTAAGGTGAATTTAATAGGATACAATTTAGTGCAAACTACATACTGCCAGGTAACTCCCAGGTGACCGTGCTTTGCTCCTCTGCAAACAATTCGGACAAGGTGAGGGACATTATTGGAAGCAGCCCCACAGTACAGCCAGTGTCAGACATCAGATGTGCAGCAGACACCATGACGACCAGGGAGGGAGGTGATGAGGGCAGGACAGCAAAGAGGGAGGGTGCAAACACAGGAGGAGGGGTTTTGTTAAATAAGTGGAACATAAAAGAGAGAGGCAAACAGAAAGGGAGGCATCCAGGAACAGAAAGCGTTGCAAATAAGAGTTAGAAAAAACCCAAAAGTTTGGGGAGGGGCAGAGCAGCATGTAGAGGGAGGGTGGGGGGCGTGGAGGGGGAGACACACACAGAAAGGACATCAGTTATTCACCCAAGCTACAACCACTGAACATTGTATTATAAATGAGGTTAGATCTGAGATTCCGGGCCTGATTCACACCCAGGAGTGGCACGAGGGGCAGTGACACGCTGGGGACACAAGCCATGCTTCTGTCAGGGACATTCCTGCAATATCTGACTGCCATGGAGAGGAGCTTCCCAAGGGAAGGCTCTGCCAGCTGCACTGCCAAGGGAGGAGGAGGCTACCTGTGGTCTAGGATAAAGGGCAATTTCGGGGAAGGAGAAAAAGCTTTGCTTTGTGAGCTGTTGCTTTTATTAAGCACAGTGAGGAGTGATAATTCTGAGAATCACAGGGCTCACACAAAGGCCAGGTTCCAGGTTGGGAATCCTCTGCCTGGCAAGGGGCACCTCCAGCACGTTGGCACAATTCCATCTGTTGGAGCTATTACTCTGTGTGCTCAACACAGGGTTTCACTTTAGGGTGCAGCAAATCCTTCACATTCTGCACCCCAGGGAGAGCCGCAGAAACAGCCCAAGGTGTGGGAATCCACAAAATCAGAGGGTTTTGGGAAAGCTGCAAAAGGCAGCCCCAGAGACAGCAGAATTGTGATTAGAGCTAAGCAGTAGCCATGAGATTGGTCAGCAGAAAAATTATTTAAAAAGAAGAAAAGCAAGAACAAATAGAACAATGGTCTGTACATTAATGCTTGTCTAGAATAACTCCCTAAGCTACAGAAAAGTTTATCTAGCAAGATATTAGGAAGATTGAAGCTTGATAATGGAGCTCTGTGTGTTGTGTTTCAAGGCTCACAAGCAGGTATTGTATGTGAAATAAGCAAGCATTGTTTTAACCAAAAGTACGTGTGCTTATGGTGATTGGATAGAACTACTGTCAATGTGCTTTGGTTTTGTGTGATTGGTCAAAAAACTTTTAAAGTGAGCTGTAACATTAAGTTCTTTGTCTGCTGCCTGGGATGCGAGCTGATGGCATCTTCCCATTGTCATAACCATGTAATGAGACTGATGCTGGAAAATAAAACAGCTCAAGGCACGTTCCTCAGCAGCCCCGTCCCGTTTGTGATTTGTACAGACCCCAGCTGGCAATACAAGGCCAGGCTGCTCCCTCCTGGCTGTGTGAATCAGGCCCTGGGAATGAGGCAGGACACGAGTGGTGAGATGTTGTGACACAGGAGACAGGATGGTGGCTGGGCAGCATTGGGGACAAACAGCAGCAAATGTGTGAAATGGCCAGAAATGATCTGTGACATCCTACACACTAAGCAGTGCCCACAAGCTGATGTGAAAGTCAACTCCAGTGAGGAGATTTCTTTGAAAAATAAGTTAATAAATCAACAATGGAAATCCTCAACACCAGATTAGGGGCCAAGGTCACAGTACAGGAAAATACAGGGAGCACACTCAGTGTCCCAGTGCAGCTCCCTGGTAGTCCCTGTGCCTGCTGCATCCACCTGTGTGTGTCACAGCACATTGCAGCTTTTTGGAAGGATAGGGCACAGGAACACAGCTTGGCTGGCTGGATAAACAACACACAACTAATGGGAACACAGCCTGAATGGCCTTGTCCCCAAATAATCCCCAGACACTTGGGTGGCCCAGCCAGAGGGACCATCCTGAGCTGCTTTGTGCTGCTAGCAGGGAGGGGTAAAACTGGGGACAGTGCTATGACTGCACAGGAGAGCTGCCACACCCTGCAGGGAATCACTGCAGGGAATCCCTGGCCACACCCTGCAGGGAATCCCTGCCACACCCTGCAGGGAATCCCTGCCCACACCCTGCAGAGAACCCCACTGCTATCCCAGAACAAGGCCTGGATTCCTGTCTCCACATCTTTTAACACCAGTATTCCCAAGCCAGCTCCAGCCCATGACAAGCAGAGAGAAGATGCTGAGATCTTGGCCCGCTCCCAGTCTCCCACCATCACATCCCCACCTCTCTCTCACCTGGGTTTCAGCAGCCAGGCGTGGCATGGAGGCTGCACGGCCCTGGCTCTCCAGGCCTGGCTGGGGCTCTCCGTTGGCAACTGTGGGGCTGATCTCCTTCATTTCTACCACCTGAACAAAACATGGAATGGTTTCAGTAGCAAGAACATGTCAGCTTTGAAGCCACCATCAGCTTCCTGAAGTTTGACTGGACTGGGAAGAGATGCTGGTGTGGCAAAGAGAACAACTGAAGAGCTGTGGAGTGCTGAAGTAGAAAAATGATAAAGAAAAGCCTCCTAAAATCAGGCCTGCTCTGGCTGGTCTGTCACTTCTTCTAAGTCAAGCCCTCACTGTGCAAGTTCACATGTGAAAGCAATTCTGGTGTGAGCAGTTCATCAGCATAACAATCTGTTCCTGGGTTAAAACTGTTTTTATAAAGTTTTATAACAGTTTTTATACAGTTTTATAACAGTTTTTATACTGTTAGATAGAAAAATGAAAACTATCTGTACAAAGAACTTTTCCTGCACGTACACACCGAGGGTTGGAGTGACCAATCCTTACAGAATAACAACTTGTTACTGACCAATAAGTAATTGGTAAGAAAGCTCCTGACCAATGGAAATGACACTGAGATCTGTAGAACTGAATAAAAAGGAGTTCTGTGAATAAATAAGGGGTTTTTTTCCACCATGAAGAAAATTGAGTCCCATGTGATTTATTCCCACAGTGGGTTGCCCAGGTTACTCTGTCCTCAGCAAGGACATCCCACAAGCAGTGGGATGAGCTCTTCGACCAGCCAGGAACCCCAGCTGTGACCCTGGAAACCCCTCAGGTCATTCTGACCATTCAAACCCCTCACCTGAGCTGGGACAATGGGATTGGGAAATGGGAGGAGAGAGCCTGAGGTAACCCACGGCAGCAAGACAGAATCCCAGGAAAAGCATGTCCAGATTGGCTGTGGGAGCTGCCAGGTTTGGGCTTTCTCCACAATGCTCAAGCAAACAAGAGACAGAACAGTGCTTGCCTCAAGGGACAGCTCTACGAAATGCAGGTTCCCCTGCCTTCACCTGGATATTCTAAACACTTTCTAAAATTTCTGAAAATCCACCATGGCTCTAAAATCTCCTGCATCTCACCCTGTCTTCACCTGCTTTTCCTAAACATTTGCTAAAATTTCTTAAATTCTACCACACCTCTACAATGTCCTGCATCTCATCCCATCTTCACATAATCATTTTCTTAAATTCTGGAGTTCTTACATTCTAAACATTTTCTTAAATTTCTGGAGTTCTACCACACCTCTAAAATCTCCTGCATCTCACCCCATCTTCACCTGCTTTTTAAAACATTTTCTTAAATTTCTCAAGTTCTCCCACAGCTCTAAAACCTGCAGCTCCCCCTTCCCCCATCTGCTCACCCTCTCAATGGGGATCTCCTCAGAGTGGCCTCGCTCAAAAGCTGGGCTCCTGGTTTCATAGAACACGTCCTGGGTGCGCTGGGTCCCCCAGGAACTGGACTCTTTGATCCCTCCCTCTGGAGGTGGCCTGTTCCAAAGAAAAAGAGGGAAAAAGATTCATCTTTTTGCAAAGAGATTCTGCTAAATTTGGCAAACCAAACTTGAGCAAGCACCCTTTGGGGTTTCACATATGAAAATCAGTTGCAGGATGGGCACAGTGGCTGGTGAAGCTCTAAGGTGCCCTGGGTTTTTCTCCTGTAGAGCCTGAAGATCCCATGAGAACAAGGGAATCAAACCAACTAATTTTTTTTTCAGTATTTAAGGAAAACAATTTCTGCCACTTAAATCCTGATGGACAATGAAGAATTTGGGAGTTCAGGCTGATTTTGTCTGCAGGACCAGCTGGGCACTGGTCAAACACCTCAACCATGCTGAAGTCCCTTCAGCTGTTGAGTCTGGTGTTGGTTTCCCCATCAAGATTATTTGGGATGTTTAAGCCTCAGCTGTCTGTCACTAAAAATCCACAGTGCTCATGATCCAGAGGAAAATCACCTGCAGAGCAGGAAATGGAGAATTGATTATGGATCACTGTCACCAGTGTTTGGAAAGCTCTCCATGAAGGGATAATTTCCCCAAAGAGACAAATTGTGCTGTGGCAAGCACTTGCTGCTGCCCAGTGCCACAAGCTCAAGGGCTGAATTTATTCCCAAGAATCTTTGGCCTCCCAAAACCTAATTGCCAGGGTTTGCTTGGTTGTTTTGCAACAGTCCCAAATTCCTGTGAGCAAACTCACCCTGGGCAACTCCCAGTGAGGATTCATGAAGGAAACACCAAGATCCCAACACCACCAGCACTGGGATAACCACAGCAGGAGCAGAGCCACCACATGAATTGTCCCAGCCATGGTGTGAAGGGGCTGCTGGCTTTGGTGTCACCAGAGCAGCAGTGGTGGAGGGGGTGACCCCAAGGTGGGGTGGCTCTGGAGGGGGCTCAGGGGTGACCCCAAGGTTTGGTGGCTCAGGGGTGACCCCAAGGTTTGGTGGCTCTGGGGTGACTCCAGGTGTGGCGGCTCTGGAGGGAGGTCAGGGGTGACCCCAAGGGTGGCTCTGGAGGGGGCTCAGGGGTGACCCCGAGGTGTGGTGGCTCAGGGGTGACCCCAAGGGTGGCTCTGGAGGGCTCAGGGGTACTCACAGGGCTCCCCCGTTGTTGAGGGAGGCCGAGCTCTTCTGGCGCAGGAAGGCCTTGGCGTTGCTGAAGGCCGTGGGCTGCGTCTGCTCCAGGGTGGCCTTCAAGGGGTGGAACAGGGACACTGGCCCGGGCTGCCAAGCACAGGAGAGGGGTGTCAGAGCTGGGATGGCCTGCAGGGCTTTCCCTAGTCTGTGAAAAGGCCACTTTGCCACCCTGGGACAGCAGAAAGGCCACGCTGGCCTGGGCACAGCGGGGAGAGGCTGTGAGGGACACCTGGTACAAGTGCAATCCCCTTTCCCCCTGAATGCTCTCCCGAGCCCTGCTGCAATCCCCTTTCCCCCTGAATGCTCTCCCCAGCCCTGCTGCAATCCCCCTTCCCTCCAAATTTCTCCCAAGTCCTGCTGCAATCCCCCTTCCTTCTGAATATTCTCCCAAGTCCTGCTGCAATCCCCTCTCCCTCCGAATGTTCTCCCAAGCTCTGCTGCAATCACCTTTCCCTCCAAATGTTCTCCCCAGTCCTTTTTCAATCCCCTTTCCCTCTGAATGCTCTCCCCATCACCACAGCAAAGCAGTGAGTCCCCCAAGGATGTAGCCAGAGGGGCAAGTGCAATTCCAGGGGCTCTGGATGGATCTGCTGGAGCCATCCAGGTGTGGGACAGATCTCCACCCTGTGCTGGAGATCAGCTGGATGCTCATCCTAAAAACAACAGCTCTTTGTTCTCCTGGAAGTGACTGGGCTTTCAATGCCAGTTGAGTGAAAATATTTTCTAGAATTTGTAAAAATTAGAGCCAAAATTATTTGGAATAATTCCTATTTTCAAAAATAACTTAAACCTATAGCCAAACTACCAGCAGCTTTCAATAGTTCTTTGGTCTACCAAGGAAATATTTGGTGTAGCCTAGGCCACTTTTAAACACACTTTAGACTTTCAAAGATCAGTTGTCTTTTATTCTGAAAAGATCTTTCTTTACTGGAAAAGGCAACTGCAACAATTTTTTAAAAGTATTTTTTTAGAGACACTTTCAGGAGAGATTTCCATTTTTTAGCCAGCATTTTGAAACCCTGCCTGGAAGAGCAGCCAGACCTTCTGGGTGAATCCTGCTGGTGATTCTTGTTAAAGCTGCCTAAGAGGGAGGATGGAAAAACCCCTTTTGTACCTGGCACAGGCCCCCGGGGGGCTGGACTTGCTCCCTGCTGTTCTTATTCTGCTTGTAGAAGTCAAATATCATCAGGGCTGCGTAGACCTTCCCCACAGTCATTTCATCAGCTGCCGGAGCATGGGCAAAACACAGCAGAGCCATTCCAAGGATGAAGAGAAGACAGGAATAAGAAAAAAAAAGCAGCAAATGATGAAAAACAGGGAGAGGGAGGAAGCAACATGAAATTTTTTAGGAAAAAATAATTTATTAATAAAAGAAATAATAATTATCAATAAGAAATTATTTTATTAATAAGATAATTATTAAGAATTTTTTATTTTATTAATAAAATAAAATTGTATTTTATGAGAATAATGAGGCAAAACAGACACAGAAGAGTAGGGGAAAGGAAAAAAAAAAGAAAAGGTTACAACAGATTCTTAGCTCTTTGCCTGTTGCTGCTTTGCCTTGGTTTGGAGCTCTCTGTGGCAAACACAGGGATTGTGTAGGAAAAACGAGGCAGAAAAACTCAGTGGCATTGTCAGCACTGCTGAGAGAATTCCTAAATTCCTCCCAGACCCACCCCAGCCTTACCCCTGCTTCTCTGAATTACAGTGAGTGGGGTATAATGGGTTATTATACATTTAAGGGATATTTCATTTTTACAGATGGTTTTTTCACCCTCAGAGCCATGGGACAGCCCTTCCCTGCCCAGCACTGGAGCACTCACCATGGCAAAAACTGGAGCAGCAGAGATACAGGAATCAAGAGAGGGGGGGAGGGAAAGACTTCAGCAGTCACTACCCAGTGATCTGCACCTCCTCAGCTCCCTCATTTTTCTTAATTAACAATGCCTTTATTATTCTACACTGCTTCTCATTAATCAGGAATCCAGAGCTAATCAAGAGAATAGCAAACTCTCCATTTTCTCAGCACTTTTGCCCAGGACATCACCAAATAACACAAATGCCTTTAACCCCCAAACACCTCACATCCGATTCCCTAAGTCCTCAGCACGCTTTAGCTTTTTCTTCTCCCCATTTTTCTGGAGCTCAAATGGCAGAAATTGCTCTCCCACCTTGCAAGGCACAACCAGGAGGCTGCTAGAACTGGGGAGGAGCTCTGGGAGAGGCCACACAGAGCATTGGTATCTCCTGGGTGCTGTTTGGGATTTGGGTTTTTCTGTGCACAGGAAATCTGCAGCACAATGAAGTCCCTGCCTTCAGGTGAAGTCCCTCCCTGGAGGTGAGCTCAGCTCCCCCAGTCCCTGTGTGACAGAGCCAGGGCAGCACAGAGGCTGCTAAGAAGCTCAGCTGCCCTTGGTGTCCCTGCTGCATCCTCCAGGTGACCCGGATGGGGCTTGGGACAGAGCAGGCAAGGAGGGAAGAACCT